TTTGTCTCATCCACATATACCTTTTAAAATGTCTACACTTTTGATTTATATCAGAACGCATAAAAACAAGCAAATAGAAGCAAACCTGCATGCCAACACGGAGTGCGGTACTTCGGGTAAAAGATTTGCCCGGGAGCTGAGCGCGCAGCTGGTCCAGGCTCGGCCCTATCATTTCCATTACAATAAAATGTGCTTTCATGTCAGTACCTTGGTCGTAGAAGCGACAGAAATGAACGCAGTCAGCCACAGCTTTTAACACACTTACCTGCATACAGTTTTATTCAGATCAGTGCGAGCGTTAATGACACTCAGCTTGCTGTAGCGTTAACTACTGTAAATAGCAGCTACAACGTCCACAAATAATCCAGTTCTTCACATTTCCTTGTTATTATGGTGCTGTCAGTGATATCCTAACATTTCAGCGAATGCTTCTTTATAAAACAGATAAAATGGCTGGTAGTTCGGCGGTTAAAACATTTTTAGCGCTGGGGGAGTGAAAGCCAAATTTTGCTGGAATTGTCAAACGTCAAAACCCTCATCGTATTCACCCTCTAGGAGACGGAGCTCGAGCATTAGTGCGCAGCAACAGCAACAGTCTACCCACAGGGTTGCCGACTTCGATTGCTAGCTGATGTCATGTGCCGGTACCAATTTAGCATCAAAACGAACAAACAAGTTATAATTACAGGGCCGCATAGACCTCCTGTCGCGAAAAGCTGGGCTTTCGATGACCCAGAATGGTTTAGGTCAATACGTCTCCATATGTACCACATGTAGTTTCTTTGAAATAACCGATGTTACGATAACAATTTATGGGACGCGTTTAAATGAAGTCTGCAAGCGTGCAAGAGTATTCTAGATGTTCTTTTTCTAGAGGTGAACGTATAAGAACCCTAATAAATTAGGGCGGGGTCACGGTAGGACTTAAAAGCAAACCTTTGGAGGCAAAGATTTTGGTTTTTTTGGGTTGTTTTTTCTGCTTTTCTGGCTGCCATTTGGTTGGATTGTTTTGTGATTCTGGTTAATACGCTATTGGTTATACTTATCTTTGAAAACGGCGTGAACAAAGTGTAGTTGGCTGACTGGTGTAGTTGTAGTTGGCTAACAAAGAGTAGTTGGCCCGCAGGTGACGAAAAGGATATTTAGACTACTAAAGGATTAAAGCTTAAACTCCATTTCGTAACCTCCAGCATGCATGCCTATCATTATGCGTTTTTGCTTATATGCAAGTTGCAAAAACGCATATCGCTACGACCCTGTCTATGTGTATGTTTGTGTGTGCGTGTGTGTGTTCGCCTGTCCGGATGTTTCAACTCGGCAACCAAGCAAATTCCAGCGCTAAGATTTTGCTAGTGGGTTCCCCGGCCAAGCGCCGCCCCATAATTGCGGTACCAACCCTCAAGCAATTCTGGGCTCCGCGTACGAGGGGGTGAAAGATTTGGCGGGAAAATTGATAACTCGGAAACGGGGAAAGATAGAAAACTAAAATTTTGAGGTTATGTTCCCCGTCCACATATAAATCAAAGGTTTCAAACTCAGCCCCCAGGCGTGTGTGGTTCCCGCATATAGCCCCATGAGAGTTTCTGGCGCGAAAATCCCTAATTTGGGAACCAGAAAAGTTGGGAAGTTGGAATTTTTAAGGAATGCCCCCAGCCTAAGTACAACATAAACCTATCAAATTCAGCCCCCAGTCATATGTGATTTTTACGTGCGGTTCCGTGAAATTCCTTGGCAGGAAAATGGCTAACTCGAGAACTAGCAAAGCTGGGAGGCTGAAATTTTCAAGAAATGTTCTCAGCCCATGTACGACTTGAAAATTCCAAATCCAGCCCCCGGTATGCTTTCAGGTGACGTGCAGCCCTGTGAAAGTTTTGGCGGGAAAATTGCTAACTCGGGAACA